AACCTCCCATATATGTATACTGACTGAGTATCGGGTATAATGTACAGTCGCGGCCCTCGCAACGTAACTATTCATTTTAATATATAATTTTGAGATGCAAAAAATAATACTTTCCCTGTATTTATCAGTTTTATCTGTTCATTTTTATTTGGTCATCCGTTTATATCCATTTGCAAGAGTATCCTAATAATTAAAACACGCGAAGCTAGTCTTTTTGTTCTTAAATTTAATTTCTCAATTCAATATATTTTTGGTTCTTTATTATTTTCTGTGCTTTGATAATAATAAGTTCGTTATTTTACTTTCACAGGTATCTTGCGCTACAAGGTGGATTTCCAGAGTATGCAGCTTGATGAATTGGACAATGATGGCTTTGACCTAGATGATTACTAGAAAATGTTTCTGTTAATACACAAAGCTCTACCTACCATCAAACGTAAACTGAAACTGCGCAGCCACATAGACCAGGAAATTAAATAGAATATTTTAATAATACGCAAAAACACACAAAACCCCTCTTCCATTTTTACGTTGTTGGCGAAAAAGTAAAATCTAAATTAATGCATATACCTACAAGATAATATTATGTTAAATCGAAGAAAACAAATATTAAAATGATACCGTTTTACGTGAACAAAACTGATTTAACATCGCTCATGATTTAATGGAACCCAATTGGCAATCAGTCTTTTACGTAGACTTCTTAACTTGAATTTCACAGGGCAGTGTCACCTGAATAATTTGCAAGAAATAGGGATGGGCTCTTCTAAACTATGTGAAAGGAGCAGAAAACATCGGAACACATCAGGATTTTGGACAGATCACTGTTTAGTAATATTTATTCCATGTTATCCCCTGTTCCACTCTACGATATTACCAAGCACCGAGTACTATTTGCATACAGATATGTACATACGTAGAAAGTTGACTGGAAATTTTTGGTATATGCATTCAAATGCCGATTTCGTGAATACTCACGTACTACTCGTACGATTTAATGTGCTCTGAGAACTTATCCGCTGGGGATCTCTTGCATTAAATTTCCCTTCATTGAATTACTCTTTATTTAACTCTTCTACTTTCAAAAGCTAGAAGAAGAAATGCCAAAAGGTTCAAATGGAAACTAATCAATTTGATAAGAATCTTTTGATAAACCAAGAGGCAACTGCTTTTGGAAGAGAATATACCCTGCCCCAGAGTACCGCGCATTCAAAGACTGGAAGTGAAAGTCTGTAAGATTTCTATTGTTTAAGAATATATGTACCATGCATGCAAGTAGTAGAATGTTGACCCGATTCCTATGCTAATTAATATTTCCATGTGATACTCGTTGTGGCAAAATGATATAAGCGCGAGTCCATCTTCTTATATTCGTCTAAAATTTCTTATAAAATCCGCACAAATCTAGAAACTTTCCATCTATGTTAATGTTGTGATAAAACAAAATCGGCTCCACCCCAAAGAGCACGACTACTGACACTGCGGTAAACAAATGATGGACGTGTAGAGCCGACTCTATCCATATACATAAATCGTTGCTCGCACTCGTATATTTGTACGCACTACATTTGTATGTGGTTGTAGCTCAGTTTACAACATTAATGAGAATTTGATCAAGAGAATATACATACATACTCGGAAAGTCACAATCAGCTGCAGTGCGACTGGCAATCACATCATTGGGGCACTTCCAATTGAATCGTCGGCGGCGACAGAGGTTCAAGAAATCTGAAATTAATCAGCGTTCTTTTTTACTGGCAAAGTCGTGACTAGGCGATATTGTGTGATATGGATCAGGCATTGGCTGTGAATCGAGTTCGCGAAGGGCTTATGGATGATTGGAGTATCCTGGAAAATGTATTCAAGCTACTGCAGAAGGACGACACATTCTGTGTGGACCCCCAAAAATGGAATAAGCAGAAAATCGTATCATTTTTGCAGCCAGACGATTTGAAGGTAAGTCTGTTGTCTCGAGATAACGGCGGGGTGACTGTCCGATTAAAACAAAAAAAAAAGGGTTCAATTTTTGACCCCAAGCCTTTTCTGAAAGAAATTAATTGTGATTTAGCCAATTATATAACAAATTGAGTGGTCTTGATAAGTTCCGATAAGGTACTCGTATAACCGGTATCAGGCGATATACAAACACACTGATTTTCAAGCAGGCCGAATGCAGGTAGTTGTTCTCAGAATAACTACACGAGCCTAGACTGGTATAGACGGAGTATGAGCAGTGTGTTTTACATAAATATTTATCTTTTCGAATCCGTATCCTAAAATTTAAATTTAAATACGATATATAGTATACACACGTGCAGGCAAAGCTGGATTTAATTTACATTTACACGTTTGTATGTTATCATTCCAAGGAATTGATTAATCTGAAAATCCGGGAGACGGAGACGTCCACTCTCGCGGAAATCGAGCAGCTTTGCCAGTCGGTGATCCAGTATTCAGTCAAGACCTCGCATGGACGCTTCCACAATCAACTGTTCGGACAGGTTGACCCCTTTGGATTGGCGGGAGCATTGATCACAGAGGCCATGAATGGAAGCTCGTAAGATTGCAGCAGCATTAACGATGTACTATATTATCTGTGGCAATAATTATGATTGCATTTTTTATTTCAATAATTAAGAGCTCGCAGATTACTAGGCATTACGAGATAATGTTTCAAATCGATTAGTGTCCAACCAATGCACATTAGCCAGACGGCTGATGTTTTGCATAAATTTCAAAAATTAAGTTGAAGACTTGCAAGTGGATACAGTTGATTGTAATGATATACATATGTATATATAAGAAATAAGAGAAATTTCAGACCGACAACGCCCATATAAGGTGCAGCTTTTAATAGTTTTTTTTCTTTCTTTCTTATTGACGTGATTATTTGATGAGTATTTATATATATTTTTATTCTTATGCTTATTTAGGTTAATAGCCATTAAAAATGCACCTCCATGTATTTTTTCATATATCTAAATGTCTAAACGATTCGCAGCTTCCTTCTGAATATTAAACTCCTTGATAAACAAAATTTACAATAACTATCTTTATTCGACCTGCAGATACACCTATGAAGTGGCGCCTGTGTTTAGTCTGATTGAAACAGAGCTGATTGCTACGGTCTGTAGGTTGGCCGGCTATGACCATGGTGATGGTATTTTTGGTCCTGGAGGATCCATGTCCAACATGTACGGCATCGTGATGGCTCGCTACAAGTATGCTCCAGAGGTGAAGACCACTGGTATGTTCGGAATGCGGCCTCTGGTGTTGTTTACCTCCGACGAGTCCCACTACAGTTTTGTGAAGGCCTCCCACTGGCTGGGTATCGGCAGTGACAATTGTGTGGCTGTAAGAACCAACGAACGCGGTCAAATGCTTTTGGACGACCTAGAGGCAAAGATAATCGAGTCAAAGGCTCGTGGGGCACAGCCTTTCTTTGTCAACTGTACAGCCGGAACCACTGTGCTGGGCGCATTCGATGATATCAACGGTGCTGCAGATCTGGCAGAGCGCCACGGACTGTGGCTTCACGTAGATGCGTGCCTTGGCGGCGCAGCGCTCTTATCCCACAAGCATCGATCTTTGATAGCCGGTCTCCAGCGTGCGAACTCCTTTGCCTGGAATCCCCACAAGACGGTTGGAGTTCCACTCCAGTGCTCGTTGTTCCTCACGCGGGAGTCGGGAAATTTGCTGGAACGCTGCAACAGTGCGGAGGCCCACTATCTGTTTCATCAGGACAAGTTCTACGACGTCTCCTACGATACGGGCAACAAGAGTGTGCAGTGCGGCCGCAAGATAGATGCCTTCAAGTTTTGGCTAATGCTCAAGGCTCGTGGCTACGGACAGTATGGACACTTGGTTGACCACGCCATCGACATGGGCAGATTATTGGAGGACAAACTTCGTGAGCGTCCCGATCGTTTCAGACTCGTACTCCAGAAGCATGAGTACTCCAATGTCTGCTTCTGGTACATACCCAAGGACATGCGGGTACCAGCCAACGAAGAGACGACTGATTGGTGGACTCGTTTATACACAGTAAGAAAAAACATTTATTTGTATTAAACCGAATGCAACTCTTGTATTTATTACCTGAAAGGTAGCCCCCAAAATTAAGGAGCAGATGGCGTACAGCGGCACGTTGATGGTAGGATATTCCCCGCTGAAAGCTCACAATTTGGGTAACTTCTTCCGGATGGTCTTCACGTGCTTTCCCGTTCTTCAAATTCATGAGCTGGATTTTATCTTGGACGAGATTGAACGACTGGGCGAGAAAATCGTAGCTTAAGGCATATAGGGTATACAAAGGCCCATACTCCATAAATATGTAGTTCATATGTACCAAATATATAGTTACCGTGCAGTTACCATGTCAAACAATGGAAATTTTGGTTGACCTTTATTTTATAAACAATCCAATAAAAAGGAGTCCTTAAAACTAGCCAGTCTTGTATATTATGGATTCATTTATCGATCCGATCATGGACACACTCCACGAAAATTATGAAGCTTTAAGTTAGCGCAGTTCAGGTGAGATTCAGGTATTGTAAGGCTAGTGGCACCGGGTTGACCGTTACTCTTCGGTATATTTTTACTTCGAAATTGCGATGAAGGTATTTTACGGTATATTTTAAAAATAAGCCTGCTAATTTCGGTATTCTATGAGACGGTATATTTAATCAATAGATCCAGCTGTGTTGTGTACAGGGTGACCATTTACGGTATTTTTAATACTTTTCGGCCAGGGCAGTCACTAATCGGATACAACTATGTGGGCATGGCTATATGTTCTTTATAGCTAATAATATTCCACGGAATATCAAAAACGAAGAATATGTATAATATAACTTGAATTCGTCAGTATATTTACGCTACATTTTTAAAATGAGACGGTGTATTTTGGTATATTTCTGTTTCTGTCGGACGGTATATTTTAATGATAAATCTGCGGTCACACTGGTTGTCTATTGTGTTCATAAATTGTGTTTTCTTTTTTATAAAAAACAAAAATTTAAAAATGGGTCGTGCTGAGGCTGGTACGCCCAAGTACCTCGCCAATAAAATGAAGGCGAAGGGCTTGCAGAAGTTGCGATGGTATTGCCAAATGTGCGAAAAGCAGTGCCGCGACGAGAACGGCTTCAAATGCCACACCATGAGTGAGTCGCATCAGCGGCAACTCTTGCTGTTTGCAGACTCGCCTGGAAAGTTTCTGCACAACTTCTCGAAAGAGTTCTCCGATGGTTACCTGGAGCTGCTGCGCCGGCGGTTCGGCACCAAGCGTACCAATGCCAACAAGATATACCAGGAGTACATTGCGCACAAGGAACACATCCACATGAATGCCACCCGCTGGCTAACACTCTCCGATTATGTCAAGTGGCTGGGAAGGACTGGCCAGGTTGTAGCGGACGAAACGGAAAAAGGATGGTTTGTCTCATACATTGATCGCAGCCCCGAAGCAATGGAGCGCCAGGCAAAGGCCGAACGCAAGGAAAAGATGGAAAAGGACGACGAGGAGCGAATGACTGATTTTATTGAAAAACAAATCAAAAAGGCAAAGTCCAAGGACGATGGCGACGACAGTGGGCAGGAAAAGTATACCGAGCTTGTACGGGAAGAGGCCGAGCCGCTTAAATTGGACATCCGATTGGAGAAAAAGTTCCAGCCCGAATCGATCTTGGGAAAATCGGCGCTATTGGCAAAGCGACCGAACTCTGAGATTGACGAAAAAGTCTTCAAGAAGCCCAGGTCGATGTTGGTGGAAAAAGGCGGTTCCCATTCCAAATCAGCGCTGGATGAGATCATCCAACAGGAGGAAGCGAAAAAAGAACGCGCCAACCGCAAGGATTATTGGCTGCACAAAAACATTGTGGTGAAATTCATCTCAAAGTCCATGGGCGACAAGTTTTTCAAGCAAAAAGCGGTTGTGCAGGAACTAGTCGATAAGTATCAAGCGAAAATCAAATTCCTTGATACGGGCGAAAAGCTCAAAGTGGATCAGGTATGGATTATAGTGTACCCCAATTATACTCCCCAAGTCTAAGCTTAACTCTTTTTATTTTTCTTACAGGCGCATTTGGAGACTGTGATACCGGCCATGGGCAAAACAGTGTTGGTTGTTAATGGCGCCTATCGCGGCTCAGAGGCTCTGCTGAAAAAGCTAGACGAGCGCAAGTTTTCCGTCAGCATTGAGATACTCCACGGACCGCTCAAGGGACGAATAGTCGATAATGTACAGTACGAAGATATATCCAAATTATATGACACATAGCATAAAAAAGTAGGATTATATGTAAATAATTTTATAAGATTTATAGGAAGGATATTGTGCCGTTTTTTAAAGATTACAAGCTAAGATTACATTTATGAAAATATACATGCTCTACCACAAAGCAGAGAATGAAATGATTCACATTTTTTAGATAAAGTTTTTACCCAAAACACAAATTGAGGTCAATTAAACACGAATATTAATAAGCAATTGGTGCCATTGCCATTTGCAAAATATAGTAGATTATGCAAACATCAAGTTAAGTCAAAAAAAAAGTAAGATTAGGAACAATGCGAAGACAGAACAATGCTCGCTAAAGTATTTCGATTCACTTGCGCCTTAAGCGCAAAGCAGAAACAGCTTCCGTTCCCTCCGCTTCGGTGTAGACAGTTGCACATATTCGTGAAATGCGGATTCAGTGTTTTCTCCTCTGGCAAATCTCATTGCATTGTCATGCCATACACACCGAGATGACAGCAACTGATGGCAGATCTACACCAAATTGGTGGGAGGCAGTGCCCAGAGTCCTGACCGACATTGTGACAGTGAAAGCGAATATCCTCACGGCTGCTCCTCTCGAGCTGGCAGCCAATGCGATAGATATGCTGTGTAAGAAGAGAATATCCTATTGTTAGAACAGTATCGCATGCCAATCGTTGTGTTTCCACAGGCTCTTCCACGCTGTTTATGGGCAGAGTACCGCCGAAGATCACTCCAGATATAAATAAAATGCACTTTCAGTACATGACGCCCTGCCACAACTACAGTGTTCCACTGCTGGATGCAGCGAAGCTCTGGAATCACTCCAAGTTTGGCAAGGGTCGCAAGGTGGTCATCTTGGCGACCGGCTGGACAAACACTGTCAACGAATCCTCCGCCATCGCCATGATTTCGAGGGCCTTCATGTGTCGCCGCGATGTGAACTTTGTTGTGTGTAAAGAGTCCTGCAGAGTAAAGTCCACTTAAATAGCAAGAACAATTTCAGATTGTTGACGCTGCCGATTACGTGGACACACTGTACTCTTGGTCGGCCCTAAACACGGACCTTATTGGCGAGCACATTGCTGTTGGTCTAACGCATTTGATAGAGCTCACTCCCCTGCGAAATATCCACTTGATCGGTAAGTGATCGGCAGTCTAAGCAATCCAAGGGTCTATAGATGATACGTGAGCTTCCGTAGGACATTCGTTGGGGGCACACATTATGGGTACTGCTGGGCGCACATTTAAGCGGCTTACTGGCCGACTGGTACCCCGTATAACAGGTCTGGACCCCGCGAAACCCTGTTTTCGGCAGGAAGACATTCTGCCGGGACTGACCCGGGGAGATGCGCAGCTGGTGGACGTCATCCATACCAACATTGGTATTCTGGCGAAGCGTGGGCCCCTGGGCGATGTAGATTTCTATCCGGGTGGAGCACATCCCATACAGCCCGGTTGCCTGACCATCGGCTGCTCTCATACACGCGCCGTAGAGTACTTTGCAGAGAGTGCATATCCCCAACAGGAGAAGAACTTTATGGGCACCAAATGCAGTTCTTGGGATGAGCTCCGACGACGCGACTGCAGGGCGGGCGCGGGCACACCTTCCTCGATGGGATACATAATTGACAGAAAAGCGAGAGGCATCTATTACGTAGATGTGAATGGATGGCCCCCGTATGGTCGGAGTAGTAGTAAGACTGCAAATCCCAGATCAAAGATTTGCCACCTTTGCCGGACATGAGACACTAAACACGATTAGTAGCCTATAAATACGTAATTTTATTATTTTAAGCGATTAATATATAATTTCCGTAAGATCTAGATCATCATTAAACGCCTCCGAGATGTCCTTTTGGCTCTGATAAGCCCGTTCCTGTGTCTCCGCGATTTTCCACAGCTCATCATCGTCGTCGCCGTTGAGCATAGACCTGTCTGCATGGCCCTTGATGTCTGGTCTGAGCTTAGCCTTCTGTGGCATGGCTCCTGTGGTGCGCTTCTGCCGGTTTCCCATCAGTATCTGGCTCTCTTCGAAGTAGGTGTTCGGATGATTGATGGTCGGCTCCACGTTCGAGTTGTGGGTGAGCATGAAGTACTTGCCACAGGCGATTTGATAGTGACCGCGGGACACAAAGAACATCACCTCTTCGATGTGGCTGGTCGACAGGCCGTAGGAGGCCAGTTTTGTTTTAAGCGAGGCCTGATCCTCAGACTTGTAGGGACAGCCGTGGCAGTCACCCGGTGCCGCCATTTCCTTAATGATTTTGGCGCACGAGTACGGACTGTAGTTAACCATGGATCCCTTTTTGCCGTAATTGTGGTGGATGTTGTACTCGTAGCTGCGCGTGAACTTATCTGCATCCATCTTCTTGGTGAACTCCTCGCGCCAGAAGCGTATGGAATCTTCAAGCGTTACACCAATACCCTTAAGGAAGAGACCGTACTGCATCCGGCCACCGTGCTTAACGTGATGCTGGGCACGAATGTGCTCGTGGCACATGCGCATGCACAGCGGCATTGACGTTTTGGACAGCTGGTTGAGGGACTCGATCGCAACAGCTGCATCGCGGCACACTGTGTAATCCTTGCCGGTGTACGAGTTGTGCAAAGCCTTGAGCATTCGCGAGATGCGCTCGTCTCCCTCGACCTCCTCGATCAGGCCCTTGGAGGCCAGCAGGCCCAGTTCCATTATATCCTGTTGCTTTGTGCCGACAACTGAGACCAGATCGTGGGTGTTCACATAGGCAAAGCCATCCTTCAGATAGCACCTGCGACCGCGCACTAAGTCCAACACCTGAGTGAATGGCACCTTGTAGAAGTCGAGAAGCTCTATCTTCGAAACACTTTGGCCCGCTGTGCTCTCGTAAAGACCGTCCTTGACCTCATCCTTTTCTGACTCGGTCAGAGGTTGGAAACTGAAATCATTCGCCTCGAGGAACTGCTTCACCTCGGCACTACTCAGCGCTGCAAACTTGTATCTAAAAAGTTCCATCTCGCGGGCAACAAACCAGCGTGACAAGTCCTCGGATCGACAGTAAGCCAATCGGAGTATAAAGTGCGACAAGTAGTCGCGCCGACGCGTCTGAATTTCCGACTCGTGCTTGCTGCCCTGGGCACTGCCTCCGCCGGGGGAACACAATCTCAGATAGCTGCGCAGACCTTCGCGTGTTAGCTCTGAACTCACATATTCCTTCCAATCCTCAGAAAGCAATCGTAGTCCTTTCGTTCCTGCGCGGTCCAGGACGCGCAACAGACGCAGTCGTTCGAGGGCAAGCTCCTCGAATTCCTCAATGTGAATGTCGTCTGTCGGTGGATAGTAGTACATCATGACATTGTGAGGGTACTTGCTCTCCAAGCTGACCACCTCGACTTTGACATCATTTCGTGCTCGTTTCTTCAAATGAAAATCCATTTTATCAAGTAAAAATTTTTAATGAGTTTTTTTTGCGCGCAAATGCAAAACATCTGTTCAGTGTGACCGCTTATCGGCAAAATATACCCGTCCGAACCTCAGAAATATCTCGAAATATTTCAAAACATACCGTAAATATACCTTCATATTAATTTCGACGTCAAAATATACCGAAGAGTTAATAATATACCGTAAATAGTTGCTCTGAATGATTTACAGAGTGTATTTAAATATTTTTTTTCCCGGTTTTCCCCATTTGAAACTGTGTAAGAAAAAACGACGAGCACACATCTTGAGTGTGTTTAACGTATTAATCTATATATTATCAGGTACTTGCAAAACTGACTAGGACTCTTTAATGAATGTGATGGTAAGTGTTTTCTCAAGCTCTCTCTTTCGAACTACTGATGCCAATGACTTCCAGCGATCTTCTTAAGCGTTTCCAAAATAGTTTACGCTCCTCCAGCTTTGGTTTTTCGTCGCCTTTGCCGACTGGCCATTTGATATATGTTTTTACATCCATTAAATATTGTAGGGTTTTCGGGCGCTTGCTACGCGGTATATCCTCCAGGAATACGAGGATCAAATGCTCTTTGCTGACCTCAAAGATGCTAAAAGAAAAACTTGCTAGAGCTGGAATTTCATGCGAGAATGGAGAACTCGCTTACCGATGCTGGGCCAGATACATTTCGAATTGACACCAGTGGCTGAGTAGAAACTTGGAGGATATAATCAGCATCAATGAGTGCGAACGATCCATGCATGAGATAATGTTGTCCAGTATAGTCACTCCGATCTACAAAAGTAAATGCTTTCGATTATTACGCACCCTAAAGGAACTCAAGCCACACCGAGCAAACACCTAACCTGAAAATCTCTTTCATGAAGACATATGGAAATATCTCCTGCTTCCTCGACATTAGGCAGCAGTTCGTTCAACACCCACGTTCGATCGTTTTGGCAGTAGCTGATGAAGATGTCGTAGACCGCGCTGGGATCTCGTTGGGACAAATGCGTAAGGCTGTCCACGGACTCTTTAGATGCGCTGGAAAGGAGGGCTGCGGACTTTAGCGACGAGTAGTAGTAGTGTATATGCCAACGCTTCAGATAGATGATGAAGCCACAAATGGACAGGCCAAGGATGCTGGCAACCACCGCGATAACCGTCGTCGTAAGGTTGTGCAATTTCGTCGCGATCTCAGTCATGGTTCGAACCTGACAATTCAGCTCCTCAACCTGCAATTGATCGGTGTCATTGAAGCACCAATATTGTGTCGCATCATAGTCAAGCAGCTGAAATTTTAAGGTCACTAGTTCGCTGCTTAACTCAGACATCTGGTAGGGGGTCGAGGCGGGACACCTTGAGGCATTATACCCTTCAGCTATGAATCGCAGTTTAAAAATCTTGTTCACGCGCTTATAGTCCTTAATGTTGTTGTAGCTCTTCGTCAACTGTGGCAGAAATCGGCTCTGCCAGAGCTTGCGATCAATATTTAGAGTTTCTGCGGTACCCAGCAGTTTTTGGATATTCAACGAATTTGCGGTGTTTATGTTGAGCAGGTTGTACGAGCAGTCGGCCTCCTTGTTGTTACCCGCAGCCACCTCGACCACTTCCCTCAGGTGGCAGTTGCAAATGAAGTTGTTGTCGCCGAGACTGAGGTACTCCAGGTGTTCAAAGTCCTTGAGCATCTCATTTGTGAGGACATTGATGTTATTACTGCGAAGATTTAGCACACGCAGTTCGAAGTTATTGTCAAAAGCGCTCTTATACCAATTCCCAACGTGGTTTGAGCTTAAATCGAGGATTTCCAAGCTCTTCAGCGACTCAAACATGGTCGAAGACAAAGCATTTATGTTGTTACCAGCCAGACCCAGGATTTGCACGTTCTTCAAGGGCCTGGCCCACTCCATATCCTTGAGGTTGGAGTGTTCAAAATAAAGGTACTTCAACGTTCTGGCAATCCCATCGAATGCGTCATCTAAGATGTTGTTCGACACGAAGGGGTTCCCCGACAAATCAAGCCCTTCCAGGGCGGTGTTTTTGAACATAGCGCTGCTCACCATGGGAATGGCCGTGTAGCACAAGCTGAGAAACTTAAGCTTTGGCCCTAAATGAGCAAATGCCACGGCACTATTGCGGGTCATTTTCGAGTGGGAAACATCCAGGTACACCAATTCCGGTAAAAGTTTAAAAGCGTTCTGCTGTATCTTTAGGCCGTATATAAGGCTCATGGCCATTTCAAGTGTGGGCATAGATATTTGGTAGCTATACGTCAGTACGTTGGTGAAGGAAATATCCAAATATTGCACTCTCTGAATATAATAGAACGTATCCTGTTGAATAGTCATTATTTTATTGTCCGACATGAAGAGCCTCTTCAAGTTGGTGAGGTTCTTAAAGACTTCCTTCTCCACATACTCAATGCTGCAGTTGCTGATGTCTAGTTCCACAAGTCGCGTTAGATTCGGAAAGGTGGCCCATGCAATGGATTGCTCTAAGCGAAAGAAAATGATTGTGCTTAAAATATATGTCCGTATATTACAGCTGAAGAGTGTATTTGGATGTTAAATGCATTGCCTGTGGGAATTAATGGTGGCGAATATGTTGTAATTGTGGTCTTACGCGACTTATCAAGAAGGTCAACCTTCTCTCTCAGGAACTGAATGTAATCCCCATAGGTTTTATCATTCTTTGGGGCCATATTGGCGTTGCTCGTGTTCGTGTTGTTGTGTATGTATAGAAAGCACTCTCGATCATACAGATCAGTGGCATTTGATGCAAGAAACTGCTCGCATTTGTGTTGTGTAGTGTAACTGGAGTCCAAACGAGTTTCATTCAAAAACCGCTCAAAGGCTGAAATTTTGAATGATAGCTGATCATAGGAAGGGGTGTATTTGTCTCTTGTTTTTCTTTAGTTAAAATTCAACCAATTTCTGGGATTACTTACCCTCAGCATCCGGCAGTAGGTCAGCGAATTTGTTTCCCCGCAAAGATAAAAGCTTCAACGAGTCCTTTAAAGAGTACAGGGCCTGGTAGGGGACTGCGTTGAGAGTGTTGAAGGCAGCCGAAAAAACTTCAACTTTCCTTGTGTTAAACGGAATTGTTGATAGTTTGGTTTGTTGGAACAAGTCAGTGTCTTCCTTCATGTTGCCATGCGATAGGTCCAAATATAAATATGGTGCTGTGCATAAAAAGTAACAAATAGTAATTAGGGATTGGGGATTGGTTATTGGGGTTCCGACCCATAAGGCAGATAAGTTCTTGACTCACAGTATTTTCCATTCAGTCGCTTCAGGGTTCCATTTGGGAATGTCCACCAGAGCACATCTTCCTTGATGATATCCAAGAGACAACTATTGCCGTCATCAGAATCGTATTTGAGCAAAGCAGACTTTAGATCCGCATCCGCAGTGGACTCTCCACTTTCCTCGCTCCTAATCTGCTGCAGATTTGGGTTTGTTATGGTGTCGGGCAACCCTTCGGAATTTGATAGCTCGATGGCATGTATTACTTGTGCATTTTCCCGTAGCAGAGACAGAACGAGAAACACTTCTAATATGAATATTGAAGGCATTTTATAGGCCTATTAATTATCGCCGTTATCAGAACCCACAAATTACTGATTGTCGAAAGCAAGTTTTTACTTTTTCAATGACCAAACATACTCGTACATTCTCGCAGTGGTTGATTCAATTATAGTTGCTCTTATATATAAATAATAAAGGTTCTTTGTTCAATTCTTTTTGTTTGCAAATGGGCTGGACATTTTAATCACTTTCTCTTTACGCTCCGACAACGCTTGTGCAACATTTTGCTATTTGCTATTTAGTGTAGACTTTCTTTTGCATCTTTTTCAAACGTATTTCGATGGTACCGAAGCTTGTGCGTTCCCGAAAAAGACTAACTTAGCGAGCAATTGTCAGCGAATGGTCAGCAAAAATAATTGGTAGCACCGATATACTGATATACTAACACTGACATGATACGGCTTATCAATTTTGGCAATATTATGCCTGGCTCGCCTTTGAATGGGATTCGGGTTCAGCTATCAGCAACGGGTATCAGTCTTTCGGTGGCAGAATGCGTTACGCCGCCAGTCCCACGCTTCGTTTGAGTAGAGCCCCATGTTTCATTATCGGATAATTATGGCTCGATGGCGAACGCAGATTAGTCTATAATGCTCACCCGTGTAAGCACTAATACGGATCAACTTCCAAACGATATAAAATTACATGTCTCGACTGTCTAGAAGTCTACATATACATACATATATGTACATACACTCATGGACATGTTGGAAGTCCGTAGTTACGCTAGCGGTAATTTACAGTTCAAATGAAAGCGATAACACTATATAGAAAAAAGCTAAGATTATCGGTTGATTAGCGCCAATAAAGATTCTTACTTTACTTACTTTTTTTATTGGAATTTCACAACTAAAAATTTAAAAATAATATTTTAGAATTAAGCAAAAAAATATATGAAATTTCTTTATATTCTAATAATATTTTATTTTTATCTTGACATCAATTCATCGACTTCGATCTCACTTATTTTATGTTGAAGAATGTAAAATTTACAAGATATACGAGTACCTACTTTTTATCTTTTTTATAGTAGGTATTCTTTATACGAAAAACATACTCTCTTTCTCCTGTTGCTTCTATGGTAACTGGTCGCAAGATTTTCAAACATAATCGTTTCCAGTCTATAAGAATGGTAGCAACGAGTCGATTCGTGAGTCGATTCCCGCTGGTAAGATGGAAAGAGAATAAGACAACCAACAGCCTTCTCCAGGTGGGCTTGCTCTGATCTCTGGCTGCTCGGCTGCAATTATAAACAGGTTTTGAGCAAGGTAGAACAGTGTAGTTTTGAGCATTCGGTTCTAGGCAGAAGTGAGAATTGTCTTCCATTCAGTCGACATTCAAATGTGAAGATCAGCGTGCCTCCAAATATTTTCTGCGGTATAACGCAGCCTTATTGAAAATAGACATACTTTGTCTAATAGCTGCCGCAATGCGCAAGTCTCCGGGGAGTCTGGCAGGCATTGATGCCAATTCGGAGGCCTTTTCGAGCTCCAGCTCTTCGATCAGTAACTCCTACAGTGACGGCAGCGATTCGGCCAGCTGGGAGGAATACGTGGCCGCGGACGGCAGCCTCTTCTACGTTGAATACATGCCCAATGTGAAGTCAAGCATAGCGTCGTCGGCGGAGCGTCGGGTGGAATTCATGCGCCGCTCACTGCGCCTGGGAAAGAAGCCGATGCGACGTCAACATAATGGCAGTCGCCCGTCCCACTCCCAGACGCAGTCGCAGTCGCAGATGCAGACCCAGAGCCAGAGCCAGAGCCACAGCCGCAACCAGTTGTCAGAGGCGGAGCCCGACGAGTTTCGGTTCTCACACTTTAAGACATCGCATGGGGACGCCAGCAGCAGCAGCAGCAACAAGAAGCTGCAGCTAGTTATAACGGCAGCCGATCGGTTTCGCTTTGGCCGTCGCTCCACCGCGGTGGAATCGATTCTTGGATTCCGTGTGCTGCCCTTTCCCGACCAGCCGGAGTGTCTCATGGTGGAGGGCTTTGTGCACGACATAAGCGCCATGCAGCACGACATCAAGCGCGGCGATTGGTTCAAGTCGCTCAACGGCATTGAGCTGTACGCCAGCAACGTGGACGAGCTGCTGCAGCAGTTCGTGGAGCCCACCCAGGTGTGCCTCTGCTTCCAGGCCTCCTCCAGCTCTACGGCCGCCGCAGCCGCAGCCGCCGCAACGGCAGCCGCAGCTGCAGCGGATCCGACCTACGGACAGAGCCAGCAGGAGGAGCAGCTGCGCAAGGTGGAGAACTTTGCCATGTTTGCGGAAAAGTTTGAGCAACTGCTTCTATCAGCTGGTTCCTCAGAGCCCGGCACTGTAAAGACTTCCGATGCGGCCGAGCATATGCCTTTTGGTATGCTGTTGCTGCCGCCGGAATGCTACCAGCACGACCAGCACCAGGACTCGCTGTACTATTACCCCGAGAGTGCAACGACCAACTTCCTGTACAAGGCACGTGGCAGCTTCCTCACCTTGCATGCCGTTCTCAGCGAGCTGCACACACAGCCGATCACGTCGCGTCTGCTGGTCGACAAGGTCCCCTACCACGTTAACTACCGTCGGCTGAATGGATTTTTGGTTCTCTTCGCATACGCGAGCAGCCTCTACAGTGCGGCCGAGTGCAACATGCGGTCGGATGAGCTGATTGGATATATCCGCTTCTCCATGCCGGGCCTGGTGGTAGAAAACTTTGGCGCAGGAGCAGGAGCAGAGGGCAGCTCCGGAGACCTAAGATCATTCTTGCGCCATTTCTGCGGCATTCAGCGCACACGGCTGTTGCTCAATTGCCGTGGATTAACCCAGTTTGAGGAACTGCTCGGGCAGTCCCGGAATCTGCCGCTGCCCAAGGAGGCACAGCTACGCGTATTCGACGCTCTGAGCGAGATGGAGGCCATGGACTACCGCAACTGGAACGACGAGCCGTTGACCACCCACCGCGAGTTCTTTATCTACGGCAGCGCTCTGTACTACAATCAGTTTCTGGTGGCCAGCCTGCTGCCCGCTGAAGTGCGGGCCAATGTCGAGGGCTTCCTGAGATGCAGAGGGATCTTCGATCTAATTGGAGCCCCGAGTGTGCGCGTCCGGGAGCTGTACGTGTGGGAGGAGATCGTGCTGCCCAATGCCACGGGTCGCTACTTTCTGACCGTCTGCACACGGAATCATCTCAGCCTGGCGGTTATCCTAAAGATATTCGATGCACCAGACATGGCGCCGGACACCGTAGTGGGGCCATCGCTATTTTATATCGAGGAAATACAGGAGACACTGGATCACCTCATCCAGTGCGGCATCGAGTCACTCGCCATGTTCTGGTCCATTTCGAACAAGCGACCTCAAGTGCTGGAACAAGCTGGCGCTGAGGCAAAGGACGAGAAGGAGGCAAACGGCAAACTGGAGTCCTTTCTTAAGCAGAAGCTTACGGTCTTGAGTACTGCTGTATCTGTGGATGAGGAGGCGCAGCTCTGTTCCTCCCTGGGCGGATCGTCGATACACAGTCTGACGCCCAGCGAAGACGACTCGTCGCGAAAGCGCCTGACACCAATCCATGGCGCCGGAGAGGATTCCGATAGCGAGTCGGATTGGGAGAACTTTGCCGTCCAACATCCGCTGCACTATGGTCTCAATTTGAATTCGGAGTCCCACAATCAGAGCCAGATGACCGAGTCGATGTGGAAGGAAATCAGCAATGTGGTGCCAGTGAAGATCTCCGCCGGCTGGAAGAATTGTGTCCTGTACTACGTCTACATTGACATAGCCAATGGCTCCCTGTTCGCTCCCTTCAATGACTGCACGGAGAGTACGTCATTTCTGTCCGAGATTCGCCAAGCCTGCCACATGATTCACTCTGTTCTGGAGCGCTCCAAACACTACCGCAGACAGTTGACAGAATCCATAAGAGTGTCTGTCAACGCCAATGGACATACTAGCAGCAATGCAATATCGCTGGTGAGAGAGCACGGGATGACATTGGAAGTTTATCCTCAATCCAGAGCGGAGACTCAGGCCTGCTCCTCGAAATCTGTTCGATTTGTGGTGGTCGGTCGCCTCTTTCAGTCTCCAGCCAAGGAGGTCTACATATGTCACCGATCTGATGTTCCGCAAAACATTGTGGAAATGGCTTTCAGGTTATCATTCTTCTCTATGGGATAGAAGCGAATGCTAAAATATTAATAAATACTACTTATTTACCCGTATATTTAATCGTAATCGTAACCGCATTTAAAGAAATACAATACTCATCTATCTGGTTTATTTTAAACACTTGCTTTTATTGCATTTTGCGTATAAAGAGGTTTTAGCGAAAATGGTAAAAAAAAACGTAACAGGATAGTCGTTACTACTGTTCAATTCTCATATTCCGTTGAATGATTTTGGCTAACTACAATCCTTAGTTCTGCCCACATAATTAAAGGCCATTGATGCATCAATTTTCATTAAGATTGGCTACTTTTTATACGCGATACTTTGCCCCGCCCACTTCCGCCCCCACAAAGGGCGAAAATCTGTGGCATCCATAATATGGAGGATACAAGAAAACAAAAAACCCAGAATCATAGATAATGATCATATCTATCAGATTGCTGAATCTGAATCAGATCAGATCATTTTTATAGCCAAAGGGAACAAATCAATTTGCAGTGGCTACGCAGCGCCCGACGTCACGCTTAGACTGATTTTCTGTCTCTCTCGCACGCACTCTTTGTCGTGTCGTTAAATATTAGCGGCGTCTGCCGGAGGAGAGCCATACTGACTTAGTATCGGGTATAACTGTAGAGTTGCGGTGTCCGCAGCAACTCACAACGTTCCCCCTCGTTAGTCCTTGCTTTTATTGTATTTTGGCTAAAACAAGACATAAACAAAATAGTTCAACAATAAAAACAGTCCCAATGTTGCCGGTATTTGAAGACATAATGCGTGTATAGGCTTTTGTATTCCCTACTTTGTTAATTTGATATGAAGATCCTGTTTTCCGAACTGTTTAATTAATAAAGAAATTTTCTCAAATTGATAGGTTTCAGACATATTCATGCATATGATTTTGTCTTGTACATATTTATATATATCCTTATACCTATTATTAGTCTCTGTAGAAAGACGATGAGATGAAAAATATCGTTGAAGTAGGTTTAAAACAGGGACTAAATTGTGTTTGCTTTAATTGGAGCCTGGAATGATAAATACAACAAAAAATTACAAGCAATAAAGTCAGAAATAATCATTATTCAATAAAAATCAAAAATAATAATCATGCCATAAAAAAAATAATTATACAATAAAAATCAAAAATAATAATTATTCAATTGAAATCAAGAATAATAATTATAATACGAATTATACAATACAAATAAAAAATAATAATTATTGAATAAAAATCAAGACTAATAATTATACAATAAAAATCAAAAATAATAATTATACAATAAAAATCAAAAATAATATTTATACTATAAAAATACAAAATAATTATTTAATAAAAATGAAGAATAATAATTATTCAATAATAAACAAGAATAATAATTATACAATAAAAATCAAAAAATTAATTATTAAATAAAAATCAAAAATAATAATTATATAATACATTTTTTGATCCAAGAATAATAATTATTCAATTATCGTTAAGTTTTGTTTCTTTCGCGCCTAACAGCACCTGCGAAGTAATTCTACATGAGTTTTACATGAACTGGACAAGGTGTGTTCTAACGACCTGAGTGGGCCCGTGGCGCATGGCGCGTGAGTCTTTAAAAATATGTAGTTAATTATCTCTTAATGCCAGTAGCCTTTTCGAGCGGTTCGTCCGCTTCGACATTGCCAGGGAGTGAGGATTCTTCTGAAACTGATATTACTGCGTGGCGGAGCTGACATGCCAAATGATGTGTGGTCCTGGGCCTGAGGTAGGTAGTGTTAGTTGATGTTAGGTGGGTCTATCTTTTTACTATCCTCTTCGAATGATTCACTACTTTTTGCTCGATTTGCAGATAGAGGCGGCACCTCAGCATATCTTTGATACTTAAGGACTCCATCAAATCAGGGATATTTTTCTGATCACAGGAAGCCAATGCACGCCCTTAACGACCCACAAATAGTCGATAAACTTAAATATGTATGGATGGGGATGTAGCAGTCCTTAGTTGAGGATCAAGGATATTTTTCCCCCTTAAACATACCTACTTTCCTCCGACATTTCCTGTCCGATCAGCGCTTGTAACAAGGACTATCAGTATATTTCTATAATAGCTATAACTCCGCCATCTTCCGATCTGAAGAATGTACCTGATAGTTTGAACCCTGATTGGCTTAAAGTATAATAGGGATATTGCCTTTTTAGTGTTAGACTTAAACCGATTTCTAATTAAACCGATATAACTCCGCCATTTCTCGCCAATTCTGTATTTTTCCTGTGCTTCCCTTTTCGGCCAGATGGACTTTCGATGGACTTTCCAGGATAATAAGGAAACAGAAATTCGGTCGATCTTTCTCTGATCTGGCCCTATTTTCCAGAGATTTCACCACTTTTTGCAACTTAACAGCGAAGCCAAGCAAAATATCCTTTCGCTAGGCATTTTCAACGAAATGAGAACCAACGCTATATTATATTATTTCAAAATCGATTCTTTATTGCTCCAGATGAGGAACAGGAACATCAGCAACTTAACGAGAGATGCCGGTGTGCTCATGGATCCAGTCCAAGTAGCTGGTGACGCGAGTGAAGACAGCGGGGTATTCCTTCTCGCAGCCGGAGGCAGAGCCGAAGGAGGTCAGACCAACCTGGACCTTGCTGTTCTCCAGAACCAGAGGGCCACCGGAATCTCCGTTGCAGGTAGAAACGCCAGCAGAGGTGGAGACGCAGATGTTAGAGTCGCGGATGGTGGTGTAGTAGGTGTGCTTGCACTCGCTGTTGGAGATGACCTTCATGTGGGCGTACTGAAGGTGGGCGGCGACGGAGCTGGACTCGTCGGAGGTGCGGCCCCAGCCGGAGGCGATGACCTCATCACCATCGTAGGATGAATAGTGGGACTCGTGTTTGGGCAGCTCAACGGCATGGATGGCGCTGCTGTACTCGACGCGGGGAATGCGGATCAGGGAGATGTCGTTCCTCAGGGTGCGGCTGTTCCAGTCGGCGTGGATGATGATGTCGTCCCGGGAGACGTGGTGCTTGACCTTGGGGCTGGAGCGCACAGTGCTGCCCAGATAGACCTCGACGGAGTCAACGCTGAAACGGAAGGGAATACCTTTAGTCAGCTTGGATCGCCGTAATCCCTGGAGAAGTTGCTTACCCATCAGTGCAGTGAGCGGCAGTCAGGACCCACTCGTTTCCGATGAGGGATCCTCCGCACCAGGCGGAGGAGGAGCCGACCTTCAGGGAAAGTCCCACCTGGTAGGGGAACTGGTCGGTGCGGGCATCCTCGCCGTGGGTGATGCGTCCGTCGGGTCCAGTCTGGACACCGCGCAGAGCCGATCCAGAGGCGTAGGCCAGAGCCAAAGCGAATACAACGAGCACTTTCATGATTGGGCTACCTATGAAAAGTATAAGTTATTTGAACTCGTCCCGCCGCTTTTATAGGCGACCGTCCCTCCAATCGAACGCCATCACGTCCCGCCCTATCTGATCTGTAGTCATTCGGATTGGGGCACCTGCTCAAGTGGCTAGGGCCCGCTCCTTGTGTAACTTTCCTATCGGCATGCGCCCCATTTGCGATATGGGAACCAGATCTGTACGGACTTTTTGAAACTGTTGGGAGATACGGGAGCAAATGAATTGGCAGTTTGTCCTCGCCAAAAGATAGCCTAACGAGAGATCAATCAGCGGCTAATTGGAATTTGTACAGAGGAAGAGACAAAAGTTTATAGTCTGGTCTTTATATAGAATAAATAAAAAGGCATATTTTCCATTCTGATATTAGTGTAATATCCTTTATATCAGCCATTTCAAAGTATAGAGCCTATTGAACCTACATATATTCCAGCCAACTCGTTATCAATGGCTATAAGAAGGTGGGTTGGGTTGGGTTATCTTCCTCTGTCTCGATTTCAAACTGCGACACCTCTCAAGTACACCTGTACCTTCCCGCACTCTCCACGTTCCCTTCCCGAAATCAGCACTGACAAGACCCCCTTTTAAAATGCTCAACATTTGATTTAATTTATTTACAGTGCCCAGCACTGTTTGGGCAGACATCGTGGTCCACTCTACGGGTAGACAACTCCACTCAGCTCCGCTATCCAGGCCAAGTAGGCCGTAATGCGTGTGAAGACCGAGGGATAACCCTTAGTGCAGCCCGACTTCTTGCCATAGGAAGTGACACCTATCAGGATATCGGCATTCTGCAGGGGATCATGGTAAATCAGGGGGCCTCCGGAGTCTCCGGTGCAGGTCGATCGGCCGCCGGTTGTGTCCATGCAGATGTTGGTGGGTTTGACGTTGGCGTAGGAATACTGACAGTCCTCATTCGACTCCACGAACTGAACGACGTAGCGCAGATGATCGGAAATAAAATCAGACTCTGAAAAATAGTTAACATTCAGGGGAAATCTGATTTCTGGTGTAGAAGAAAAACAATCCATACCATCGCTCATGCGACCCCATCCAGAGGTCGTCGCCGGGACGTAGTCGTAGTTGGCATGACTCGAGGCCATTCCTGGCAGCCTGATGACTTCTATGGAGCTGCTAAAGACGGCAGCCTCTGGCATGCGAACCAGGGCAATGTCATTGTCCAGCGATTGGCTGTTCCAGCCAGGATGAAGGTGTACCACGGGATGGCTCGCACGGATTAGCTGTCGGGGAGACAATCGCTGCACTCCGCCCAAGTAGAACGTGATAGAGATGGCTCTGTAGGGGTATGGTTGTCAGATTAATCCATTTGGAATCTTTTTTTTTCGGGAAAACCTACTTTTCCACACAGTGCGCTGCAGTCAACAGATATTGGTTCGATATCAAGCTACCTCCGCACCAACTAAACAAGTCGTTGACCTCCTCTATGGAGAGACCCACTTGAAAGGGAAACTGATTCTCGCGGGCCTCCTCTCCGCCAGTGATGCGCCCCATTAGGGCGCCATGGCCCAAATCCAGGCAGAGGAAACATCTTACCTGAAGAGCGACGAATAGGAGGCCAACCAGAGCCGAACTTATTTGCATCTTGAGTATATTCCACTCGTTCTGTCACTGACGTAGCGTACCCACCCGAATGTGGATTTATGGTCTCCTCAGTGGATTAATCTGCCCTGATTGGCCGTTTATAGTCGTCCGAGTGGGCCATAATGCTCGATTACGGATTATCGCTTGCAAGCCATCTGAACGCCACTTGATTGCTGAACTAATGGAAATACATATTTTTGCTTTCATTTCTTGTTAGGGGTTTTCGATAGGAATGGGGTTGTGTTCAGAGTGTGTTCCCAATGTGGTAAACTCCTTATAAAGGGGTCAATTTTTTCTATCCTAAAAGAGGATAAGTATGCATTATATACATCTGTGATCGATATAATTCTAAGTCAAAACTCATTGATTTACCTGGAAAACCCATCATCAATGAAACCCCGTGATTCGTAGATAAGCCGATGTCAGAAACTCTTGCTTTAAACATAGATTTGATATAGGTATGTACATATGCCATTATCGGTATCTTTTGATAACATATTCATTCAATTGTTGACGTATTAATATTCCAAAGCGTAATACTATCATAGAAAGGTGCTTACTAAGAAAAGTGCTTATACTTCTCCGATCTTATCTGGCTGATAGTTTTTTATAAAATGCGAGCAGAAAAAACGTTTCTCTCATGCGATATTTAAGAGCCACTCACTTTTGCAACTGGTAGACCAAGTCAGATGGATGCAGTAGGTCTTCAGGGCTCTCAACTCCCTACTCAAAAGGGAATCTTCATTCACTTTTATCACCTGCAGTCTATATAATACGCCGATTTCAATTAACGATCCTTCATAATGATTCATTGGGATTCAATTATAAGTCTCACACAAATTAAGGAACAACCTTCAAGTAGATTGTTTGCAGCTCGTATCTATGGGAATAATCCAACCAGGCCAGGTGGTTCTACGCCGCCAACTATCTGGGGTGCTCAATGGTCAAGGGCTTCTCGATCGGCGATAAGGCATATGGCTCCTCTGTTCCTATATAACCGTTCGACAATCCTCTTCACCAGTCATTTGACAACCAATTAAGTAAGATGAAGATACTGTCACTTATCCTGCTGACTGTCTCGTTGGCTGGCTCCTGCGCAGCTGTACCCCTTCCGGCTGGTCTGGAGTCACGCATCACCAACGGGGACCTGGCCGTGGTGGGACAGTTTCCCTACCAGGCGGGTCTGAACATCTCCTTTGGCAATACGAGCACCTGGTGCGGCGGTACTCTGATCTCCCATCGCTGGATTGTGACGGCTGCGCACTGCACTGATGGGGCCGAGTCGGTCACCGTCTACCTGGGCGCCATTAACATCCAGGACGAGAACGAGCCCGGACAGAGGCGGTTCGAGGTGGCCAAGTCTGGGATGATTGTGCACACCAACTGGACAGCGAGCACGGTGGCCAACGACATTTCACTGATCCGGCTGCCCATTCTGGTGCGGTTCACCGATAGCATTCGTTCTGCCGGTTTGCCGAGGCGGGTTAATGGATCGTATCCCACCTACGAGTACCAGAAGGCCTATGCCTCGGGCTGGGGACGCGACAGCGACAGCTCCGATGTAGTGTCCCCGACGCTGCGCTTCGTGAAGATGCCCATTCTTCCGCATACCCTGTGTAAGATGTACTGGAGCGGGGCCGTGTCGGAGAATATGATCTGTATGAGCACCACCAGCGGCAAGTCCACCTGCCAAGGGGACTCCGGCGGCCCTCTGGTCGTCATGGAGGGCAACGACACACCGACCCTAATTGGGTCCACCTCCTTCGGCACCAATATGGGCTGCGAGGTGGGCTTTCCGGCGGTCTTTACGCGCATTACCAGCTACCTGGAATGGATCAGGGATCATGTAAAGGTTTAAATAAAAACGCATGTACATTTATTTTTATTTAATTTTTTTTCCTGATTTTTTTGTTTATTTTTTTTCGCATTTTTATTGGTTTTTTGTTTGGATTTTTGCCTTGTTTTCCGAGCCCCTCGGGGATCGGGAAAGTGTCGAGTGAATTCATATTCGAACACATCGACCGACCGCACTCGTAAGAACTCGTGATCCCAATGAAACCCGGCACTGGCCCGATTTTCGAGGAGCGGCTTTTCCATTACTTTCTTTCTATGTATATACAAAAACTTAAAGTAGGGGAGGGGTGGGGTAGGGTAGGGCATGGGTGAGGGTGGGGCGGGAGTCTGGGGTAGTTTCAAGAATAAGTATGTAAAAAGAAAAAAAAATCTTAGCAGCAAATTACACATTCAAACGATTGCTCATCGATCGAAATATTAGAAACACGGAGGTCTCCGGGGTGTCCTCTCAATAATAACTTAAATTATATGTTTTGTATTGTGTGTGTGTGTGTGTGTGTGTGTATGGGGGGAGTATGTGTCTGTGTGTGTTGGTGTGTGTGTTTAGTGGATAGTTTAGGGCTACATATATGTGTATATACTATTTGCATATACTATGTATGCTTGCAGCTTAATGCAGTAGTAGAGAAATTGAATACGAATACGAATAGTGGTGAAAAACATTCGCTTAACTGATTGCTTAGTGTCGAAAATTACATAAAAATTCAATTTCATTTGTTTACACTTCCTCCTGGCATTCTCCTGACTATTTGTGCCTCGAAGATGCATTTACTCACCGCTTAGATTTCTATAAGTTTCGAACTTTTTCTTTTTTTGTAAGTTTTTCATTTAGCGTCCGTGTTTTTACATCATTTTTGTAACGTTTTTCTTTTCGTTTTTCTGTTTTCTTGCACAACGATTTTTATTTTACTCATAATTTTGTTTTTGGGGGTATTTTTTTGTTTGTTTTGTTTTGTTTTGTATTCGTTTTTGTTTGGGGTTTTTTTTGTGGTTGTTGTTTTGTTTTCTTTTCGTTAATGCTAGCTTTAAAAAAAAAAAATTATAAACAAATGAAAGCTACGTCAACGTTTCGGGCGACCTTTTAAACATATTATCCACCGCCGAAACGATCAAATTTGTATTTGTATTGGTATTGGTTTAGTTTAATTCTATTCATTGAAAAGCACTGAAGTACAGTGCTGCAAGTATTGCTATTGGGGTGGTGTGGGCGTATGGAAAACCAAGTTGGAGTTCGAAATTGGGCTGGGCTGGGCTGGAAAACGGGGTTAGAAAAACTTTGCTAACTAAAGAATATCCTCTCTGCATTTCCATTCACTTGCATCATCATCATCCATCATCCTTATTTACGCGTAGCAACTATGATTTAATTCAATAATTTATTATTTAGTTTGGCGTCTTTAATTTTGAATCAAAGCGCTGGCTTTATCTTCTCCCCTTTCTTCGCTTCTCCTTTCTATTCTCCTCCCGCTAGTATTTCTATTCTGTTCGGTGTGGATTATTCTGAAACTCCTTAACTCCTCCTGCAACGGCCTGCAATTAGTGGGGGGCCGCACTATATATTGTATTGTATATTTGCTAAGCGGAAGTCGGTCCTATATATATCTTTTGAGTGTCTCTCTCTCGTTTGTGTATTCAATTGTGTGTGTGAGTGTGTGGTGTGGTGGTGTGGCTATATACATCAGATATTAGGTGTTTGTGGTTTGTTGATTTGCTAACTTAAATGCTAGACGGCCGTGTTGTGGTTGCAACTAATCGAGAAGCCCTCGCTAGAGAAGGATCTGCTCTGTATATGTCTGTGTGTTCTATTTTTCTTTCTATTTCTCTGATTCTTGGGTTCTAAGTTCGATTCCGATGCCAACAACGCGTTTACAACTATTATGTGTGTGTGTTTTTTTTGTGTGTGTGTGTGTCTAGGTGTACGTGTAATGTAGTATAATTATAAATTAATTAATGCTGTACAAAAGTTTTCGCTCATTGAGTTTTGAGTTATAGATAAAATTCTCCAACTGGAGAATCAGATCAGCCGCCTCCATCGAAGTCCATCTCCGACTTCGTCTTCGTTTCCGACTCGATTCCATTCGGCTTCGATCCTCGGGTTTGTGTGTTTGCTGGTTTTGTGGTGTGGTAAAATGAACCAAGAATAACTTAGGCCACTAATGCATCTGAATCTGCATCTCACCAACAATCCTAACGACTAAACCTAGCATCGGCTTACGGGGTCTCTATACAATTATCAAAAAGTGCGACTTATGGGTTAAGTAGGAGCTCCTCCTTCTCCTCCTCCTCTTCCTCATTTTGTTTCTATCTTCCTTTCTCCTGTGGCAGCTCCTGCCTCTTCTCCTCCTCTATCTCACAACGCTACTTCTTGCTGTATACGGGCAGGGCGGGCGGTGGCAGGCCAGCATGGAGAACAGCATTCGCGGGCGTCATCAGCATGGAGGATGTGGTGGTGGTCATCGGCATGCTCGAGGCCAGGCTCATCGCCGTGGAGATGTTGGGTGCGGCGCCTGCACCGCCGAGAGGAGCAAATACGCCGCCGCCAACGCCACCCCCGATGCCTGCTCCGACAGCTCCATTGTATTTCGAATAGTCCTGACCCTTGCTCTTCTTGCTCTCCTTGTCCCTGTCGCGTTCGCTGTGCTTCTTCTTGTTGCTGCCGCTGCTACTGCTGCTGCCCGAGGAGGCCGTGTTATAGCTGCCGGCGTATGGAGGCAATGCAGGAACAGGGACCGATGCCACACCAGCGCCGGATGAAGCTGTTGTAGTGCCCACCGCTGGGGCTAAGCCATAGCCCGGAGCCACCGCCAAGCCGGCAGCCGTGGAGTAGTTGCTCGGCTCTACCTTGTTCTTGCTAATCTTCAGCTTGAGGGGAGCCGCCGTGCCCACCTGGAGGCCGCCGTTGGGATTCGTCGAGGCACTGGTCTTGATCACCATCTTGAGGGAGTCGTTGGCCAGCGAGCTGTCCTTGCCACTGCGCTCTTTCTGCTTGTCCTTCTTGTGTTTCTTGCGCTCCTCCTTATCCGACTTGTCCTTTGACTTATCCTTCTCCTTGTGTTTATGCTTCTCCTTCTTCTTTTTCTTCTCAGACTTGCTGCTGCTGTCATCCTTGAGGTCGCCGCCGCCCAGCTTGGTGAGCGCGTCCACCTCCATTGGGGTGACGGAGGCTAGGAGATTGGACATGGCATTCATGTTGCCCATCAGCGGCTCCTTCTTGATGGTCGCCGGCGTGGGCATGGGCTCTAGGAGTTCCGCTGGTGGCTTTAGTCCCGGCATGATGAGGGCATCCGGCTTCAAGAGCGACACATTCGACGGACAGAGACTCTCCTTGAGCAGACTACGCACCAGATCCGGCGTAGTCTCAATGCCATTCGACATATTCAGGGGCGTGTGCTTCTCCTCATAGCTGGGATATGCGGGCAGGCCGCTGCTGTTATCCAGTTTGCGGAGCTTCTCGCGCGGCAGGCTGCCGCCGTCCAGGTCATCCAGCTTGTTCAGTCCATACTGACTGCCTGAGATTTCGTTGGCCCGCTTCAAATTGCCAACATCGCGGATCTCATTGGGATTGGCCAGCAGTTCCCCTCCGTGCGGCTGCGGCGGCTTCTTGTGCGGCGGCATCATGGCTGCATTCTTCGCTGACGCACTGCCCCCACCGCTGCTGGTCATGGGCATCACGGGACGATGTTTGTCCTTCTTGGTGGGCGTGAGGCGCTCCTTCTTGGGGCTGTTCTTGTCGCGCGGATGATTGTTCAGCTTGAAATCGTGGCCCAGCGGAGCCGGAGGTGGCAGGAGGCCGTTGAAGGGCTGGCTTTGCGGCTCCTTCTTGATATCGCTCCATTCGGGACTGAACATGGAATTGTTCTTGGCCTGCGACGATGCCTGGGGAGGCGCTTCCAAGGAAAGCTGCTGCTGCTGCTGTTGCTGCGGCTGCTGCATGTGACTGTAGCCCTGGCTCTGAGGATAGGGCAGCTGCTGCTCGAATGGCGGCATGCCGTGGACGGTGGAGCCGGATTTGCTGCTTCGATGGCTGCTGCCATAGCACGCCGGGGGCGGGGGCTGTGCCCCGTTGCTGCCACCCGGATAGCCTCCGCTTCCGCGTGACATCAAGGGATTGGGGGGCGCACTGTTACTATAGGATGGCGGCGCATTCGGGTACATCTTGCTGCTTTGCGACTTATCCTTTGAGGAAATGCCCGCTGAAGATGAGTTGGAGGCAGATGGATGCGTTGACGGCGGCTGCTGCGACTGGGGCTTCCCGCTCGAGGTCATTTTGTGAGTACCATGTGGAGGAATACCCACACCGACCGGCGGCATGCCGCGCGACTTGTGATAGTCAACGGGCATGGGCGGCCGGCCGGGCTGCTGCTGGCTGGATGACGAGCTTGAGCTATTCCGTTGACTGCCACTGCTTCCGCTGGCCGTGGCGCCCATGCTGCCGCTGCTCCGCTGGTGACCGGAGGGCAAGCGGTTGTTGTAGCCCTGCTGCTTGCCCTTGTGATCTGCAAATAGGAACCGCTTTTAATGCCTTGCTCTCGTGGAAGACGCGCTGTCCGCTGTCTACTTACCTGGATGACCATCGGGAGGCAGACCACCCGCGTAATTTGGCAACTTATTGTGGCTAGCGGACGACGACGACGATGATGATGATGAGGAGCTGAGAGGCACATTGCTTGCGGAAGATGAACGCTGATGGCTGCCATCTGGTCGCCTCTGCTGCGGCACCATCGCTGGCGGCGGTAAAAGCGTCGACTGCTCCCGCTCGCGCTCGCGTTCCCGTTCACGTTCCCGTTCCCGTTCCCGTTCCCTTTCACGATCTCGCTCCCGGTCGCGATTGTCATTTCCATTCAGGGCCAGCTCTGGCGGCGGCTCGATGTTCGAGTGATAGCCCTTCATCATCTCGCTCATCTTCCAGTCTTCCTTGGGCTTGTTGTCCTTCGATGCCGTCCGATTGCTGGCTCCCTGGGCAATCGCCTTGATTGAGTTCAGCTTGGACTTGAGGCGGGCGGGGCTCTTTTCGTAGATGGCTATAAACTCGTCCGTCAGCTGCTTGAGCAGGTCCAGCGACACGCTCTTGTCCACATAGTAGAACCAGTGCTTGCCCTCGGTCGACTGCGGGATCTCCCAGCGCGACCATTTGCAGGCCAAATAAATGCAGAAACATGCCACCACAGTGGGTCGATATTGCAGGCACATCGAGGTCAGATGCAGGCTGTTTCCAGGATGGTAGTTTAGTGAAATTAAATGGCAAGTCGATGGGGAAAGTCTGCAGACATGTGTGTGTGCGCGCAGGGGGGTACCACGTTTGTGCGGGGGTAGACACCGTATCCCCCCGATTTGAACAAATAACTAAAATTCCAGTAGTCTTTCTCGTATCACCGAAGGGTGACCCCTTTCTTTATTTTGTCTTTATTCTTTTTTCCCTTCCAGTTACATTTTAATTGCAGAAAAAACCCATGGTAATCGATGGCCAGTCCGATAATGGCCCTTAAAAATCGGACAAATTGCTTCGGCATATCATAAAATAAAAATGTTTCTGTTTCTGGTCAAAATGTGTTTACAAGATGTGTGTTTACACTTGGGATTTTAGCGGATTAGACGAGCCCGAGACAGCGAGTGTCCTTGTGTGCAAAATGTCCGCAGTCAGGTCCGGTTCGGTCTGTACTTATTTTCTTTTGTTCTGGGCAGATAGAAAACTATTACCTAAGCAGGTAGCCGAATCATCGAATGGCTTGACTCCAGGCTTTTGTCCCCAGGCCATTTCTGAGTACAGGAACCACTCCGTACAGGAGTGGAAATGTCTATGGCATATCACCGCCTCACCGCACACACACACACGATCATACGCATATACCATTACGTTTGAGGATGGGGAATGGAGATCGGATCAAGGATTGGGTCACCAGAGTGGGGAGGCATACCTGTTTGAGGCCAAAAAGTAGGAGGTCTGCGCCAGATCCTTGCACGCTAAAATACATCACAGTAATCAATTCACAAATCGCTCTATGTGCATATCATTTGGGATTTTGGGATATATTTTAGAGCAGATTGGTGCCTACCTTTGACCAGCTGGCACGTGCGCACCACATGCGTGTGCGGGTGATCGATGGCCACATCGAAACCGAGCGTCTGCAGCAGCACGTTCTCGTTGAAGACGAGCTCCTGGGCGAGATCGGCGTAGTTTTGCTCGGTGGTCGGTGGCAGGCACTTGTTGGCGGCTCGTATCACATGCTCCAGCTTACGAGGCTGCTCCTCGACCTTGGCCGCCAGAAAGAGGCTCGCCGATGCCATGGAGTTGCGGTGGAAGTGGGTGAATGAATGGAACGCATAGAACCGGTGCATATACACAATCGCCGTATTGATGCACAGCTGGGACACCTGCAGCCGCTGGCCCATCTCCTGTATCAGGTAGGCGGTCATCTGCCTGTACTGGAGCTCGTCGTCGCCTTTGATGCCGCATCGGCGACTGGGCGAGTTGGTCAACTGCTCATTGCTGAAGTACCAGATCTTGTCCTTCTCGAATGGCAGATTGTTGTTGCTGCTAGTGCTAGTGCTGCTGCTGGCGCCGGGCGCTGCACTGGCCGAGCCGGAGGAGCCTGCACTCGTGGAGCTGCCCGTGGGCATTGGCGTCGCCATGAGACTCATTGCCGCCGCCGCCGCCTCCGCTGCCGTTGCTGATTGCTTTGCCCTTTCCGTTGTGTAGTTTCACATGCAAGCCTCTTTATTGCGCGCCGCCACAGATGGATCACACAGATTCTGCTTGCTGCCTGATTTCTCCTCTCCTCTCCGCACTCTTCCTCTTGCTTTGCGGACTGCTGACTCAAGCGCTGCCGTCGTAGGAACTGTACGAAGAAGCAGAGCGCTATTTCTTTGTCGGCTGTGTGGTACAAGGCGAGTGCGTTAGTGTTGGTGCTGGTGTTGGTGTTGGTATTGGTGGTGGTGATGGCGTGGGTGGTGGGGAGGCGGAATGGGGAACGGGGAGCGCTCGCTGCGGCTGCCACAGCACATTGGCTATGTGAGACGCGAAATGCACATTCGATTCGCCTGCGATTAGCTGTTGCGGCTATAGTTTTTCACACTTTTTCCGCCGCGCTGCTCTTGTCTGCTGCGTCTGTGTGTGTGCGTGTGTGGTGTGGTTTTCTGGAAATTGCGACTGCGGGACACTACCGCGACAGCGACGTGTTATGCAACTTTCGCTTCAATTCATAGTTACTTGTATTGCAATTGCCGTCGCGCTGGCCACAAACACCGTCACCATTTGTTTACTGCACTTGATTTATTCTACGACGCATCACAAAAATGGATCTGGACAATGACAAAACTTGCAGAAAAAATGTATTCAATATCACTCACACGGACACCAGTGTCGTGTCGGACTTATCGAAAAAATATACCGTCCGACCCTCAGAAATATACCAAAATACACCGTCTCATTTTAAAAATATACCGCAAATATACTGACGAATTCAAGTTCTACTATATATATTAAACCTTTTGTGATATTCCGTCGAATATTACTAGCTAGATAGATCTTTCCGCCCTGCCCAGATAATTTTATCTAATTAATGAACCTATTTTCTACCAGACTGGTTTATTTTAAATACTCGCTTTTATTAGATTTCGCATAAAACAGGTTTTAGCGAAAGAGGTCAAACAAAAAAAGTTTGGGAGTAATATTTCTTACTGCTCAATTTTGATATTCCGTTGAATAATGATGGCTTACGAAAACCCTCAACCCTGCTCACACAGTTTTATCCTATTGATGAATACATTTTCTACATTAACTACTTTTAAGTACTCTCATTTATTTTATTTTGACTAAAAAACGGTTTTCAACAAAAAAAGAACAGTAGCAATATTGTCTCTATCAGAAGACCACCAATTGCGTTGAAATACCTTTAAGACAGAGACGGTTTGTTTCTGCATCAATTATAGCGTGGATCACAAACATTTCCGTAATTCTATAATATCATTTTCCCTAGGGTATGTAAAATGTTGTCCATGTTGCGGGACATTCTGTTCGTTTGCTCGGCACATATGTATTCTGGCCCATACAAATTAATGTGCCAGCAAATTTTGTGCATCAGCATGCTTTGCAATGTATTTTTTTATACCATTTGTTTTTAAATATACCTTTGAAAATTAAATTTAATAGGTGAAATCGATAAAATATACCATTATATACCGATATACCGTAAATATACCGATGACAAAACGAACTTAGCCCACCAAAACCCCCTTTATTTAAGGAGTATAGTACTTGAATTAAATCGCGAAAAATGATACCAATAATAATTCTTCTTTCAGATCCATACCATCCTTCCTCTTTACTTACCAAGCAGCCTACGATATCTTTCACTGAACTGCTTAAACTTTCATAAAATATCATTAAAATGTCAAAATATCGATAGATCGGAACAAATTCAAAACTTGTATTTTCAGCTGTGTTTGAGTTCCAATATTGTTTTTTCAGCGACTTCAGGACGGCGCGTTCTTTTACATGCAGCAGCCTGCAGTCTTTTCAATAAATATATTAACTGTTGATGCCGCTCGTTCTGAAGCTGCAGAGCTGGCTGGGGGTTTTAAATATTTAAGAGCCAGCTGTGAAATATTTGGGTACACTCTTCCTTCTTAGATGCCAAATAGGCAATGGGGTCTGTTTTTCGGTAAGCACTTGTAATCTAGATATGTCTGAAAATATCGATTTGTGATATAATATATTGCGCCTATCGATTTGAGAGATCGAAAATTAAAAATTCTTTAAATGTGATATATAATAGGTTATTTAAATGGATTAAATTTCCCATTATACTCCGTAAATATACCTTCAACTTGATTTCGCGGTCAAAATATACCAAAAAGTATATATTTGGCCGTAAGTGGTCACACTGACGCACGCAAACGTAGATACATGTAGATGTAGTCGTACATGTAGATGTACATGTAAATTTACTTACGACTAAAATTCGTTCTTATCGAATTTTAAACCTTTTGGTAATAAAGTTGTTGGTAGATAACTTTCCTGATCAACGCCTATTTCACACCAGCCTTTAAGGGTAAATGCCTACTGTTGGCTTATTCTATCCTTTAAATATATGCCATGGCGAACCAGATACAAAAAAAACACTTTTAGCTTTATTGTTATTTAAAAAAACAGATAATATATATATATATATTTTTATGGTTTGTAGATTAAAATATACAAAATTTAGCTAAAAATCTTAAAACTCTTATATCGTAACAGTAAATAATTATACTAGCTTGTGTTTTTGGATTTTCTTTCGTTTATCCTTATAAAATTAAGACTAAACCGTCATTGCCTTTCCCTCTATCCTTCTAAAATTCACCTACATACCAAATCTCGGATCCCAACTTTCATTCTCTTACAAGATATACATAAATACATGTGTGTATATTATATATTGTGGCTGGCTTTAGCTGATTTCTCTTCACAGACATTTCAAAAAGTGTCTGTTAAATGTACAATGGACAAACCAAAAGTCAAAGAAACGTGTAAAACACTTAGATTAGCGTTGGTTATTTATAAATAACATAACCTAATTGCAACTAACGTTAAACCATCTAACATATTTTCCTAATCCCGTGCCAATCCATACATCCGTGGGCCTAAAAGATCCACAATCCGTACTGTTCCGTTTCGTTCCTCAAATTATACTTCGTTCGGTTTTAAAACTAGATATTTTCATTCGTTTTTCGGGTTACCAATAAAGTATTTTTTGCCTTAATCTAGTTAAGAAATAGCGCCCAAGGGCTTCGCTTTTCGTTAATAATTAATTTAGTTGGTCTTATCCAGCATTCGGGGGTTATCCAATTCAACAAAAATTTGGTAGGTATGTATGTATATATATTCGTATTATATATCTTTACGTTAATAATCAAGTGGAAACATGAGGTCCAGAAGTTGTTTAAATATATATACAATTATCGTGCTAGTCATGTACTCGTACATACATACATATAAATATTTTCGGGGGTTGTATTGAAAAACTTGAGGAATGGTTTCATGTTGGATGAGGAAGTCCTATCTTTGTTTAATGTTGGTTTAAAGCTGCGTCCTTCAGGGTGTGAGTGGCTCAGATTCGTGGTTACTGATTTCGTTGTACTTGATTCGTCAATCTTTTGAATGTCTGGTTCGATTCGATTCTGTGTCGGTGTGTGCTTAACATTTAGCATCCTTATAACATGGGAATATGTATCCACTAAAAACTAATAACTGATGTACGCTAAATAATGGTAGATGCGATGGCTTAATCTATATAAATAGACATAGACATAGACATAGACATGTTTATATGTATGTTATAAATCCATGATCTGTGGGGAAACCTCATAAACTGAGACCTCGTGAATTGGTGTCGATTCGTGTCGTGTGTGTCCTTTGTCCGTCTTATCACTAAAAAAAAACTCGTACACCAATCAGATTTTATCTAAAATATGCGATCTGCTCAATAGAATCGTTCGTAAATATCGTTTATCCTATATAGACTTTGAATATATACTATAACTTATGTAACTTTATGTACTTATGTACTTGTCATGGGAGGTATATCTAGATTCCAAATTTGTAGCGGGTTCCATATATTTGTATCATATCATATCATATCATATCTTTTGCTTACAGTTCTACTCTCAATTTCTCTTCCATTTTTCCCCTTCTTTTCATTTTTCTTGGGTATTTTCTCTGGTTTCTGGTTTCTCGTTTGGGTTTGGGTTTCATTTAGGTGTAAATAAAACGCATGCAGAAATTGAAATAATAATTTTATTTAAAAATAAAAAAATAATCATACAAAAAAATGTTTACAATGAACAGAGTTGAACTCAAGACTCACTTTGTTTATTTGCATCATCCAATCATCCAATCAATCAATCAACCAATCAATCATCATAAACAAAATGAAATATTGTAGATTTTCCATCTTCATTCCACGTACACGTACTCGTAAGAATAATAATAATAATAATAATAGATAAAGGTACTTAGAGAACGCAACTAGTATATAGAGATGTAGATTAAAGAACTAGGAGTTGGTTTCTCTTCTCTCTTATTCATGTTTTGTCTGCTTTCAAGAGATTGCACGTTTGGGCAGTGTTTGAAATTTTTGTAAAGGGTGTGTGTTGCATTGAGGATTGCTGTTGCAGTTGCAGTTGTTGAAACTATTTGTCAAAATCTTGGTTCTGTTTGTCTCGGTTTTTGTGGCAGTGTGACGTTTACAAGAATACAGAAGTTAAGGTTTATTTTTACGTTTAGGTTTACGCTTTATAAATATATTAAACTTCAGATCGAAAGAGTTTTTGAGTTTGGTTTTGGTGTTCTAGGACTGCTTAAACGATTGCTTATGGAGTGCGGGTCCCTCGAGTGGGGGGAAGCCCTGAAAAATTAGTTACTCTCTGCTCTTTCCTTTCATATTTTTCCTGTGAGTTTTGCGTAAAATTATACGAAACTTATGAAATAATAATTACAAGAAAGTTTATACCACCAGTTTGTGAAGACGGGGCGGGGTGCTTACTGTAGCTTCAGTTAGGAAGTGTAGCTTGGTAGGATTTTTGATGTGGGTAAGCGGGGTAAGGAGAAAAACTTAAATAAATAACCTAAATATACTCGTAGAAATAGCTATAACTATGAAAAAATAAATTTCATTCCTTCTTCTTAATAAAATAAGCAACAAAAACAATTAGCCGAAGGACAAGCCCAGGCACAGGACACAGACGCATCCTCATTCCCATCCCAGATCCCAGATCCGATCAGTGCCTGGCCTATCCTCGGCAGCGGGGGCTGGGGGGATGTGGGGCAGTTGAAAGATAATATTAGGCTAAGGGCATACACAATAAAAAAAAAAAATAATATACTCATATACAGTGGATAGATGGATAGTGATAGAGAATTTCTTGCAGCTATGCGTCCACGTACCCATATACATATACATATATATGTACATATATATATATATATATATGTACTCGTACTATCTACTTGTACTCCTATGAATGTACACCATCCGCGTACCACGAATATATCGAATATCTGTAAGAGTCGGTCCATTCCATCCGCAATAATAATAATCATCATACTAATAATAGTGATAATAATAGAATAACCAATAATAACAATATTCATTATTCATTAATCGTACAGTTAGAACTATAGTTAAGGTTACAGTTAAAAGTACAACACTAACGCCAATGAATAGATCATTATTTATGTAGGGTCTCTCTGTGTATGTCTGTGTGTGTGCGTGTGTGGGTGTGTGTGTGTGTGTGTGTGTGTCTGTGGACCAGGGGTACAGTGGTACAGGGTATATCTCTGGGGTATATTGGGACTATCATCTATTCTATGTAATTTATACTCTTCCGCGTTAGACATAATGAAAAAAAATTCAACACATACAATATACAAGGAAATCCATCCCTCCCTCGCGTAGCCATCCCTTGCTACTATTGCCGCTAGCCGGTTATTACGGTTATTACGCTCCCCAGAACATATTGCCATCGATCTGAATCTGATCCGATCTGAACCGATCTCGGATTACATCTATTTACAGCCGCCCGATCCTGCTGATCCTGCCGATCGCCTCTCCTCTCTCAGACACCATTGCAATCGATCTCAACTATATCCTTGGGCACATCGACAAACTGGTAGACCAGTCGCTGACCATCGACCTTCGCAAGGATGCCGCGCTGGTAGTAGTAGCGTAGGGCGCGGCCCATCGTCTCGTAGTTCATGTCCGGCTTGTTCTTGTGCATGCCCCAGAGGCGCGACACCGCCTTCGAGTCGACCAGCTTGAAGACGCCCTTCTCCCGGTTCGTCCACTTGATGAAGCGAGGACAGTACTCGCGATCCTGCAGCAGCTTCAGGAGGAACTCCCACAGGTAGGTGGTGGAGCCCTCCCGGCTGCGCCGCTTCACCCCCATCTCCAGCTTCGGCTTGCGCGGCTTCTTCGCCTTCCGCTGCTGGAAGCCGCCCAGCTCCAGCATGTAGGAGAGATCATAGCTGACGCTCGACGTCGCCGGTTGGATGACGCTCTGCGAGGCGGCCGCCGCCGCTGCACTGGCGCTAAGCATGGCGGCCGCTGCCACCGCGCTGCTGCTGCTGCTCACAACGGAGGCCGCCGCTGCTGCCGCCGCTGCATTGGCGATTGTGGAATGCGTGTGCTGCTGCTGCGTTTGGTGTGGATGCGGATGTGGATGCGAGGGAGGCGCCAGCTGCGAGTGCGGGTGCTGCTGTTGCTGCTGCTGCTGCGCGTACGCTTGTTGCTGCTGCTGCTGGGATTGATGCTGCTGCGTCTGCTGCTGCTGCTGCTGGTGCAGGGAATGATAGCCGTTGACGGCAGAGCTTCGCTGCTGCTGCGTCGGTGCGTTGAAGTAGGACGTTGTCAGGTAGCTGGGGGTCGGGGGGTTGCCGGGCGCCCCTGGATTGCCGACGCCGCCGCCGCTACCGCCTCCACTGCTGCCATAGTAATTGTCGGGCACTGCAAGCGACAAAATCAAAAGGAATGAAATGTTAGTTGCAAATCAAATTTCTCCATTTAAACGTCTGATCTGTCCCACTGTGCACACAGGTATAATATTTTTTTGTCTTTTTACTAAGTTTAGTTTTTTTTTTTACATCCGGCGTTGTTGCGGCAGTCGCTCGCGCTCTCGCAGCCGACGTTAACGTTGCCCAATTCCTGCGCCAGTTGCTGGGGTCGGTCGGGGGGGTGGTGGACTGGGTGTTGAATAAAAACAAAAGTGAGCAACACAGCAGCAGCACGCTCTCTCTCTCCGACTCTGCTGCTCCCAGCAAGACACAGACACGTACGTCAGAGAGCAACGCACGCTTTCGTGTATGTCTTCGTTCGTTTCGTTTCGTATCGTTTCGTTTCTGCTGCCGAGAGAGGAGTCGGTTGCAGTTGCGTTGGTGTTGCTGTTGCTGGCGCTCTCTCTGCGAGCTGAAGTCCCCCCTACCCTCGTTATTGCCACATTGGCGCTGCTTCTGCTGCTGCCGCTGTCTCTGCTGTTGCTTTGGCTGTCGCTGTCGCTGTCGTTGTCGTTGTGACCTTCACAATTTGCGCAAAGGCAATGTGTCGATGACCACAGATTTTTATACAGCAGAGCACACACACACACAAACGCAAGCAAAGAGAGAGCATAAAAGCAGCGAGTGCAACACATTCTCATTGCAATTGATGGCTCTCAGCGTACATGTCCATATGCTTATGTGTGTGTGTGTGTGTGTGTGTGTTTGTGAGTGAGTTGTTTGCTCTCGCCCCCTGCTTGACATTTTTTCGCGAAAAAAAGAGCTAAGCGATGGCACCCATTCCATCACGGGAAGGTGGATTTTCAGCGGATTATCTATGCCACAAGAGATTCACAGAGATTACCGGAATAATCAAATCTTTCAGAAGCTTCGTCCTGTTAATCGATTGTATATCGAGTGGTGGAGACATTTGGGAGTCTCTATTTACCTCGCATTAGGAATGCCTTCCTGGCATAGAAGCATTGATCATTACTATTTCCCATCAGGATATCTGGCGACAATAACTCATCCCCCAAATAGTACTAGTCCCCAATAGGTACAGATATCAACTAGCATCAGGTATTATGTACCATGAACTAACAACACAAGGGACAAGGGATAACTCATTCCCTAATCCGAATTTCCGAGTTTCCATAAATTACAATTCTATTATAAACCGAAAACTCTATTGTCCTTCTATCGTCATGAACTGTTTGAACCTTTGCCCTTGTTGCACCGCTCAGTACCCATATAGGGAAAGTACATATGTACACACATACATATGTACATATGTATGCATGTATACTCACCCCCAACACTGCGATTCCATATGTTCCTCAGAGAATTCGCGGCATTGTTCTGGTATAAATTCGGATGCAGAAAGGTGCCCGTGTGGAGGTGCGCCGCTGTCGCCGCGGCTGCTGCTGCTGCCGCCGCTGCCGATGCTGACGTGGCAGCGGGCATGCCCAGGCGCGCCTTCAGCTCGTCGGCGCAGGGCTGGCCGCCGGAACTCGAGCTGTCCACATCGGATACGCCGCTATCCGCGGGACTGGGCGGAAATGAACCTGCACCATTCGGCGGAGACGAGGACGAGGACGAGGACGAAGTCAAAGTCGAAGGCAAAGAAAAAGGAAAAGAAAAAGAAGTAGAAGAGTAAGGCAATTAGCAATCGATATATGTATATGCGGCTTGGATCGAGTCGAGGGCGTGTGCAGTGGTTCACCTTGCCGCCTCTTCCACTCACCTGTTGTGGCCGTCGTGTAGTTCCTGTGATGTGGATTGTGGATGGCGCCGCCGCTGAGCAGATTGTGCAACAGGGGCCGGTGCGGTATGGCCAGTGGTTGTTGCTGCTGCTGGTGTGCACTGTTGTTGTTGTTCCCGTTATTGCCACCACCATTGGTGCCGCCGCCCGTTGCACCTCCATGTAAGCTATGCTGCTGTTGCTGTTGCTGCTGCTGCTGCTGCTGGAGCGGCGTGAGCAACGGGTTCTGCTCCGTCTTGATGTGCAGCAGTGTGGTGCCACCACCAAAGGCGGTTCCGTTGTGCTGCTGCTGCTGGTGTTGCTGCTGCTGCAGGATTTGTTGCTGCTGATGCTGCTGCTGCTGTTGTTGTTGCTGTGGTGCTGGACTCGTCGATTGTTTGACAATAGGAATTTCGGTATCTGGAAAAGGAGAGGAAAGGTTTTCCTTAGTTCAAATTTATTGTAGGAATAACAATAAATTAACACTCAATATAAAACATATTTATGACTGGGAATGACCCACTCATAATGATTGTATATAGTATACCTATAGATTGTTATGATATTCACTAGAAAAGTTTCTGCAATACATGTTAGAGAGATATCTCAAGCATTCTGACAGCTTTGGAACGTTTGTAAATGATGTTATGTGGCCTCTGCAAATGTCTACAGAACTACCGTTTTGAATAATACATAGATCTTCCCATAACAGTAGCACATTTAAATCTCTTTAAATCTCCCAAGTGGATTTCTCAATCTGAGCACTGACAACCCTGGAGCAAACCATTCACCGTTGGCACTCAATTAATGAAATGCTTAACCTCATCCGCGCTCGCATAAATCTTTGCGCTGCACTCCCCCATTCCATTCCATTCCATCCCATCCCATCCAGTCCCTCCTACACTTCTCTTCTCCCCATCAACACTCTCCACCCTCCACCCTCCGCCCATTCACGGCTGTCAAAATGTCTGTCCAAGGGGCTAATAATACGAAAAATTCGCATCATAATTTCATAGAAATGTCATGTTGGAAGAAATATTGCAGCCAAGGGGGGGGGGGGGGGGGGGGGGGGGGGGGGGGGGAAATAAACAAAGAGTGGAATGGAATAAAAATAAAATAAAATGGAATGGAGCGGAGCGGAATAGCAACAACAACAAGGCGACAAATGACAAACGACAAACAACAATTGAAATGCCCCAATTTGTGGAGCCATGAACTCGCAGCAACAACCGTTAAAAGCTGCAGAAAATTAAGAGGAAGAAGGAGAGGGAAAAGCCAAAAGAAAAGTAAGAAAAAAAGAAAAAACGTTGGCTTCTCACTTTCCTTTGCAATGCAATCTCTCTTTCCATCTCGCTCGCTCTCTCACTCTCTCTCTCTCCCTCTCTCTCTCTGATTGTAATTGTTGTTGCTAAAAAGTAAAAGTGCATTTTCACTTATTTCATGCAGCAGCAGCAGAAGCAGCAGTAGCAAAAAAAAAAAATGCAAAAAAATTGCATTGAATGTCAAGCTGTTCACACACTGCGACTGCGACAGCGACGGCGACGGCGGCGGCGGCGGCGGCGGCGGCGGCGCACGGCCCATGCCATCACTGCTGTCTCGCTCTGGCAAATGCAAAGTGCAGGCGGGCCGCAGCGAGCGAGCGTCAAAGCTGGCAGCGCAATGAAGCTTGCAAGCACACACTCACTCACTCACTCACTCACTCGCACACACAAGCACACACAGGCATACAATTGGCAGCAAGAGAGGAAGAGAAATCAGGTCAAGGCTTGTCGGCACTGCTGTTGCTGTTGGTGGAGGAGGAGGAGGAGTAGAGGGAGAGGAGGGAGCGACGACGAGTTTACAATTTATGCTTTGCTTGCTGCATTATTGCATGTTGTACGTACGTCTCTCTCTCTCTCTCTCTCTGTGTGTGTATGTGTGCTTTTTACAGCTTTTTAAATACAGACGACCGACATCGTCTCGTTTTGATTGCCTGCCCGCCCGCCCGCACCACACTACGCCGCACCGCTCCGCTTATTCCGTTCATTCCGTTGTGGGTGAACGAGAAGCATGTAAAAACATGAACACAAATAAAAACTCAAAAGCCGCCGCAGAGAAATATTAAAAAGTAAAATAAAATATGGCACAAAAGCGTATTTACCCACAAAAACACAAGACAAGGAGAGGGGAGGGGAGGGGAATAGAAGGTGGACCCCACGGAAATCGCGCGGCAACAAAACAGCTGTGCGCCAGCCTATACACACACATACACACACACACACACACAGTCTGCCACCCCCTCTGTTGCAGCCCCAAAAAGCTACAGTTCTCTCGATTTGTGTTTTTAACGGAAATTATAAATATTAAATTTTCGCCGAGTTTTTGTTGAGTTGAAAATTTGCTTTCCTTTCGGTTTTCCTGCTCTCTATTTACTCAGGCTTTAATCGCTTGTCGAAGTTGAGAGGCTGTCGGAAATGCCCGTCACTTGCAGCCATACTTTTTCGTATGCCAATACCCTGTGGCCGTGCTGAACGCGGGGCATATTGTCGAAAGCCAAAATGAAAACTTGGTAAAAAGGGAGCTGCTCCATTTGAAAATTGCATCTTTTTCCTCAAATACAGGGTAGCCCACAGTCGTGACATTCTCTATGTGTAGTTGTTCTTGCTTATTTTTGTATTCAAGTTTGTCGTTGAATCCGCTAAAGGGGCTGTCGGGGCTCACGTGTTTTTGTCTGTGGCATACGTTGCGTATGCGCAAAATTGAGTGCAGGTGTCCGCACAAGCGAAAAATTCTCTCAATGATTACATTCGAGCAGGGAAATGCTTACGAAATACCTCACTTAATAAATTCACGTGTAATTTCGGTTGCAGGGCATGGTTTTTACCGAATTTAAAGGAAATTCACTTATTATTATAGAATATATGTGTATAATTTTCAATTGAATATTTAAATTAAAATACACTTGTTTGGATTGTGGATTGTTGCAGGCATTCACGTACGAAACGTGTGCGGTTACTTCCTGTTGGCATACTACGCGTATGTGTGACTCCAGAGAACTCATATTACACATACGCAGTGGTATGAGAATTAGTTTTCTGAGAAAACCAGGGAATTGTACGTACACTAAGCACACCCTGATGGACTCTTAAGATTCCTTTTCCTGCTCTGAGAAATTCAGTCCACAGCCCCCCACATTCCCTTGCTGCTGTCCGCCTGACAAGAGCTTTCACTGTACTATCTCAGTGGGACCCAGGGGCAATCGCAGGGCCCACAGACGAACGTTCAACTTTAATGGTGCATAAACAAACAGAAAAAAAAGAAGGAAAAAACCTACGAAACATTGCAATGCTGCGCCAAATGTGCGCTGACCTCTAAAAATGCGGTCTAATAAAAACACCAACAACAACAGCAACAACATCAACAGAAATCCCACCAAAACAGCCAACAAAACACACACACAGAAAAAAATATAAAAAATACATGTAAAAAAAACAACAAAAAATTAAATATATTACGAGAAAACAAAGCGAAATTGGCAAACCAACACACACACACACACAGCACGCATAGACATATCAAAGAAATTAACGGTAAAGTCATGTGCATGTGTTTGCTGTTGCTGTTGTCGTTGTTGTTGTTTTTTTGCTATTTCTTTTCGTTGAATTTTGAATCACTTCCAGCGGCGCTGTCCCTAGTCCCGCCACCAATTTGGACTTGAACTGCCGCTCGTTGATATGTGCGCGGCATTTTGGGACAGTTACATCACAATTCCGGACAAACGGACGGACGGACGGACGGACGGACGGACGGACAGCGCAGCATAGCATTTGGCGTGGCAGCAAGAGTAGGTCAATGTAGGTACGAGCCATCGTTGGTCTTTTGTTGCTTGTTTGTTGGATTTTGTTGTTGTTGTGGGTATGATTAGTTTGTTGCCATATAAAGCTGATATGCGAGTGCCGACTGTAATATACATATGTACATATATGATATATACCCTTGCCAGAGGGTGCTACCATTCAGTCGAAGGTTTTTTTTGTTTTAACGCAGAGAACTATAGGACAGCTATGTCCTTTCCCAGAGGTATACTTAGAAAAGATTCGGCAGAAAGTAGTAAGAAGATCATTTAATGCCATAGATCCACCCAACTTTCGTTGGACAAGTAAGTATTTCTTTTTTGGTTGAAAAATAACCCATTTAAGATCATTCATTTAAGAATGAAAGAGCATATAATCTTCAATTGACACTTGTGCATTTTTCTCTGTATGTATATTACGGGTTTGCTTGGGTTGTTTGTGTGTGCTTAAAGGTGGATAAGGCGGCGTCATCGGAGGAGTTGTTTTTGTTTTATTGTTGCCGCTCAAAATTTGTTTACAATTTTCGTACAATTCGTTTCCGAAAGCGGTAGAAGCTGCTCCGCTGTCTGCTTAACAACAATTGCAGCCACAACAACAACAAAAACTTTAGCTTGTAATTGTTTATGGGATTTTGGCTATTGGCCTATTTTTGATGTGCCTCGCGACTCGATTCGGACCGACATTTCTTGTGTGATTTGTGGGCGGTTTTTGGTAAGCAATGAAAAAAAAGAGTGAATTTTTGTGTGTGGGTCGCGTTCCCTCAAAGGGGAATTCATTTTTCGAGCCTCACTTTGTTTTTTTTCTTTAACAGACATTAATCAGTGGAAAGTAAGCGAATGAAATTGCATATTCCACAGTTTTGGGTATCCGAGAGATTACGGCTTTGCGATTGGGGTTGGGGTTGGGGAATGGCGGATCGAATGACATGGGAAAACATTAATGAAATAAATAAATATTGAAATGCCTGCTTGGATTGCAAAAGAGTATCGAAGAAAGACAGAAATATGTATGTACATATTTGGCTAATCTTTAAACTTGAATTAAATTGGTGATTCCCTGGAAATAATCCTAATAGTCATAGCTGCCGTCTCCCGCCAGCAAAGGCACATAAATAAATAAATAAACTAATAAATATTCGACATAAACAAATTCTATTCATCAAAAAACTATTATTTGTGTAGTGCTTAACGGAAGGATGGATGGCTGTACAATTACCCAAAATAAATAAACAGAAATGACTTGGTCATGAAACAACTACAAGATACCCTATAATATAATAAGAATAGATCCCCATTAGATCTTTTCTGCCTGTAAAATATATCCGATTGTGCGATAAATCGTCGGATTGTGGCAGTACATTAAACTCTAACCAATGGTCCAATGATCCACTCGACACCTCTTGCAACAGAATATGTATGTACATATGTATGGGTAGATGTGTACCCTTGGGTACTACTGGAACAGGATATGGCAACAGAAACAAATGGTTTTGTATCGATAATTTCACTTGTGCGCAATATTGCGCCAAACCGGAATCGAAATGTGGATGGGAATGGGATTTGGATGGCGATTGGGGGATGGGGCTGT